TTTATTTTTTCTTTTTTTAGCTAAACCTTAATACTATTTTCCTTGTGTTCAGACAATGCTACTTTTATAATACCGCAGTACCACCAAGTGGCATACAGATGCACTGCAAGTCTAGGATAGCAAGCGGAATACTCTATTAACTGAAATCAACTCCACACCTTAGTGCTAAACCTTTTCTCTTTTTGAGAAAGATAAAAATTAAAAAAACAAAATATCATTTATATATGTTCTTTCACAACATATATAAAGTCTTTTCTGCAAAGTTCTGTCACCAACTATATGATATTCTTTTAAAAGCTTTTGCAGATCCTTTTCGGATTCATATGCATGATTGGGAGTTCATACTTCTGTATGATATGTGCCACCCATTAAGCCTTGTTACGACACAGGCACATTACCCATCTGACATTAAAAAAAAAAGTTTCTGCAATTAGAATTCATTATTATCAACTGAGGGCTATTCTACAAATGGCTGCATTACCTTTATTTATTTATTTTTTGGGCTGTACTACCTTTAAAGCAAGACAGACTCTAATCCACAATGATATAATGTAAGTTAAAAATGACAAATATCTACTATACTATGATATAATGTAATATAAATGATACAATGTAGTTATAGATCCTATACTATAAATACATATTGTTTTTGTTATTAGGTGCTGTCAAGTCAAGTAGATCTCAAGAGACTCTATGAACAACAGATCTGAACCCTGTCCTATCCTGTGCCATTTTCACTCTTCCTGACACACTTGAGCATGTTGTGTGGTCATGACTCTTCCCAGTATCATGTCCCTCTCCAAGGAATAGCCATTCCTAGCTACATACCCAAAGTAATTAAGGCAAAACCTCATCATTCATGTCTCCAAAGAGCACTCTGACTGCATCCTCTCCAAGACATATTTGTTTGTTCTTTTGGCAGTCCATGGGATATTCAGTGCTCTCCTCCAACACCACAACTCAAAGGCATACATTCTTCTATCATTCTTAGTCACTGTCTAGTTCTCAGATGCATAGCAAGTGACAAGAAAGATCATAGCCCCCATCAGACACACCTTTGTCCTCAAAATGACATCATAACTCCTGAAGAATTTGGAGAGGTCCCTAACTGCATACTTTCCCAGTGTAGCACATCTTACTTTCTGACTGCTGGTACTATGGGTGTTAACTGCAGATTCAAGTAAGATGAACTTGTTGACAGTTTCAATCTCTTCTCCATTCATCATGATAGTTAAACAATACTAGCAGCACCCTTGTTCAGCGACTGACTTTGTATAGGACATGAGGGTTCTAAACTGACCTATGAACTAAGTTAACATTACCACAAATTTGTTACTGGCATTAAAAATGCTAAGGATGTAGTGTTTGACAAACTTCCTGTTTTGAAGGTGCCTAGAATGTAGAAGCAAAACTATCTCAAAAGAAGGGCAGCTAGAAAGGTATTAAGAAGCAAAGATAGTAAGACTTTGTCTCACATAATTTTAGAAGGCTATAAATAGGGGCCAATCCTTACAGAATTACATCATGCTTAGAAGTGGCTCAACAAAAAATAAGACCTGCAACAAGATGGACTAAGTTCAACGGTGGACTTTAGCACAGCATCATTCATCAAAATGACAAGACTGAGCAGTGTATTATTCTGTTATACAAAAGAGTCATGAAGAGTCAGAGCCAACTGCAACATCACCTAACAGTAACAATAATGTGCTGAGAGGTCCTTAAGTGGTAAGTTTTGAAGTTCACCCAAAGATACTTTAGAAATATGTTTCCCAAAAATAAGCCAATCAATGTAACTGGAGTAATGAGGGTAGATGTGTCAGAGACCTTAAAGGGGGCAGAGGATAGAGAATGATTCAGAGCTGTTGTATCACAGGATCCCTAAGAGTCTCAAGCAACCTGATAGCACATAATAACAACAACAATCCTGACCATGAGCAAATCAATCTAAGACACTACTTTCAAAATTTCTCATTGCCATCAAGTAGGAAGTGACTCATCACATCACACAGAGGGTTTTCAGAGGCTGTAAATCACACAGAAGGATACTGCCTTTCTCCTGCAGAGCAGCTGTGGATTTGAACCACCTGACTATGAGCTGAAAGCACAATTGCTTACCCTCTAGGCTATCAGAGCTCCCTTTTCTAAAAGTATACATTGGAAATCACTATTTCTAAAGCAGTATTATAAAGACTGAAAAAGACTTACCTGGCTCAAGTATTTTCTACTGCTTCATATGCATATGAAGGTTGGACAATGACTAATGAAGACAAAGAAGAAGTGAAGCTTTTGAATTATGGTACTGTCAGAATATTGAATATACCATGGACTGCCAAAAGAACAGACAATTCTGTCTCATAAGAAATAGTCAGGATGTTCTTTAGAGACAAGGATGGTGAGGTTTTGTTTCACATATTTTGGGCATACTACCAGAAAGGGCATATCGTTGGAAGGGATACGTGCTTGGGAAGGTGGAGGGTCAAAGAAGGAAACATCCTCAGTGAGATGGCACAATGATTGCAACAATGGAATTAAACGCAACAGAGACTGTAAGGTTTCAATCTGTTATAAAAGGTAGCTATGAGCTAAGAGTTGGCTCAATGACACCCAAGAACAAATACTAAATAAAATTATCATGAGAAATGAGACATAGTACCATAATGTAAAAGGGAAAATACGTTAGCTTACATTTATTAATAAAGAAATACGAAATAACACCAAAGTGAAGGACATTCTATTAAGTGGCCAATACTCTTTATCTTAGAAGTCTCAAGTATATGACTATTTCTAACAAAAACAGATGAAAAGCAAATTAAACTCAAAATAAGCAAGAGATATAAAAGATTAGAATAGAAAACAATGGAAATCAATGAAAAAAAACAGAAACGTTTTCAAATCTATGAAATCTGAAGAGATTAATTCAGAATATCAACGAAATTGACAAAAATTGAGAAGATAAAGGTCAAGAGAGAAGACATTAATTACCAACAATCAGGAAAGAAGTGACAACAGAGCAGAGTAGAAAAATACTAAAACAAGAAATTACTATTAACTTTATGGTGACAAATCTGACAGCTAAGAAAATATAATCCATATAGTACAATATCTATTTTCAAATGTTTCATTTATTTAAAAGCCTTTAAGAAAACTCTAGGCCTAAATGTATTATGAACTCCACCAAGTATTTAACTACACCATTCTCTCCCTAGCCCCGCCCCCCAAGTTTGTCCTATTTTCTAAAAGCAGTGTTATGCTGTTATTTGTCCTTCTGTGACAGAGAAATTTCACTCAGCATATTGTCCTCCAGGCCCCCCATGTTGGGTAATGTTTTATAAATTCACTGGTTTTCAGTGTTATATATTATTCCATCATGTGAATGCTCCAGTTTTTCTATCTAGTCATTTGTTGATGGGTCACCTGAGTTGCTTCCATCTCTTTGCTATTATGAATAATGCGGCAATAAACATGACTGTGCATACATGTGTTTGAGTTGTAGCTCTGGTTCTTTAGGGTATGGGAAAACAATGGATGGATAATAAATACTGCATTAGACCAAAAGAGGAGAAGAATCATCCAAAAGGAAAATAGGATTGATAAGGCATTATATTATGTATGAAAACAATCTGCTAAAATGGGTGCATTGGCAGAGAGGACTGGAGAAGGGGACAAGGGAAGGGGAGGAAGAAAATGTGCAACAATGGGGAAAAAATTTAAAATAAAACATTTTCAATGTTTAAAAAAAAGAAAGAACCACACTAATTTTATACAAATGCATCCAGAGTCTGATGAAAAGGGAACATTTCCCAGTTCACTGCAAGGGTATTACTATCCTAAGGCCAAAACTAGAAACATCTAAGGTGCGCCTGAATGAAGTCATGGTATTTTTCAATTGCTTCCCATGCATCTAGAAGGAGTTTTGGGGACTTAGTAGTAACTGTGCTGCCACCCAGAGATAAGCAGTTCTTAACCACCAGCAAAAGACAGGCAATCTCTTCCCGTGCAATTTTTTTTCCTTTCTTTTTTTTCCTTCCACCCCCCCCTCCAGCCACGTGCAATTTAAAGCCTCTGAAAACCCACTGCAGAGAAGTGTAAGCTGAGTATAAACACTAACACAATAGCAGCATGTTTCTCAAAGTACACAATAAATAAGACCAAAAAGGAATCAATGCCTTAAAATTATGTTGTTGAAAAGAGTACTGGATCCCATGGACTATCAAAAAACCAAACAAAACTATCTTAGAGGAAGTACAATCAAGGTGTTCCTTGAAGACAAAAATACAGTAAAACTTCTTTCCCCATACTTTGAGCATGTTGTCAGGGAGGGGCTGTCCTTGGAAAACGGTATCTTGTTTGAAAACCAGAGGATTAGCAAAGGAGAATTAGAACATTAACAAGATAGACTGATGAATGACTGCAAAAAACAGACTTGGGCAAAACAGAGGTGGTGAGGATGGTGAAGAAGAGGGAAAGATTTCAATCTGTTGCTCAGACTTATGAGTAGTAAACTTGACAGCACATAACAACATTTCACCTGGCAGTGAAAAACTGAACAATTTCTCCTTAAGATACATTCCAACACTGGTACTAAAAAAACAGAGCCAGATTATACAGTAAGAAAAAACAATAAAGCCAAAAGGACTAGAAAGGAAGATGAAACTGTGTTTTTTCCCCAAGCAATATAATTATCTATGTAGAAAATCATGTAGTGTCTACAAAAATACTAGAAATAAATGTATAATCATGAATATAAAAAACTAAAGGTAAAGAAAGATACTACTTAAAAAGAAAGATATACAAAATAACAGAAGAAAATGGAAATGAATAGAGGAAGAATATATCAGAGGTAAAAGAATTAAGTTATTTTACAAAAAAATCCATTATTAAAAAGGTCTAAAAAGAGGGTTAGATTGTATAAACATGTAAGTCTATATGATTAAAAACAAAAAGCAGATAGTACACTCAGATCCAGAATCAATAAAGTATTTGAAAGTATAATAACTCACCTCTCTAGCAGCACAATCATGAGGAGCTTCTTCTTTATTTACTTTTCCTTTTGGAAATCCCCAGCCCGATTTTGCTAGGTATCCCTGAACCAGTAGCACCTATAAACACAGGAACAGACAAAACTGAAACTGGCCCTCCCTTCCCAGGCTCCTTTAAAATTAAAGGATCCTCCCTCCCATATGCAAAGTAACTGTACCATCAATAATGTTACTATGTAATTGGTTTCATTATCTTCCATGAGTATAAATATACTCTTAATGTTATTAATTTTTATCTGTTTATATTAGGTCACACTACAAGTACAAAATCCAGAGACCTAGAACGCAAATTAAGCAAGAAAAAATTTAACCCTTTAGCATTAAAATCCAAGTATATATTTAGCACTAAAAAACAAAACAAAAAGTAAAAAACAATATGTAAATATTACTGAGTTGGTGTGTTTCTGTATATACTCTCAAAGACAAAATAGACAAAAATTTATAAATAACAAATATATTAATAAGATAAACACTAGTAGCTGATCACCATTTCTCTAAAAACCTCTTTATTTCACTCACATTTTCAAGTGTCTCATCAAGAATAATTGCACCATATGTTGGCACTCCCATTTTATATTCCTTCCATTCATCCAAAACTTTTTCTACATCTTCACCTTGAGGCAGCAAAAAGGGACAATGACTGAAAAGTATAGGTAACGTCAAGGAAGCTACTTGGATAGCAAGAAAAGGAGGTACGGTACACCTATACTGGTAAGAGGTAAAAAACACCAAAAGGACAACAAAAAAGCTGAAAATCATTAATGCTGGAAAGTAAAACTGGGGATAAAGTTTTGTTTCTATTTCTTTACTATGTATATGTACTGTTATAATTAGAGTGTTACTGAAGATTTACTAAGGAATATAAAGTAAGGTAAATACAACCAGTTTCAAAAGAAATTAGGTAAGGTAGTGTGGTTTTGCTGAATTCTCTGTTTTCAAAACAACCTAGATTCTGACACTGTATATACACTCAGGCTTCTAATAATCCTTGCTTTCAAATGCCTCATCACTCTAACACCAGTAATTTTTCAAAGAATGGACAAAAAATGGAATTTATGATAGTGTTTCCCAAGCATATGTTGTGAAATTGCTTATGCATTCATTCTCACATCCTATGTCAATTGTATCTTCTATATTCCCATTTTTATATTAATATAAAATGTTTTGAGCTTATTTTTAATCATCTGGATGATCACCTATATCAACTACTGCTTCCTTGATTTAAGGAGCCACAATGACAATATTATTACATTATTTATCATAGGCTATCAAAACCAGAAGCAACTTAATATGCCAATTGATTAGAGACAAAGGACACAGCCAAAACAGAGAAATGCAGTAGAAAAGTTGGTCCGTTAGGCACAAGCAGCTCACAATACCCTTTAAAAGAGTTACCCTCATATTCACATTTAATCTGGTCTGTTGAAACAAAAATATTAGCCACTTGAATTTTATGAGCTACACAGTTTGTGGGGGTTTTTTTCATTAAAAAATGTGTTTCATTATTTCAAATTCTCTTTTGACAGTATTAAAAACTAAAAAGCTTGTCAAATAACCTCACACTGACCAAAAATCTACCTGACATAGCAAGCAAATACTGTGATTAAAACACAGGCATGAGGTTAATGTCAATAAAATTATTCCATGTCTTTTTAGGGAGAAAAGTAAAGTTTTGATGCAATGTTAACCATTTGATGATGTTCTTATGGTACTAAACAGGTTTGTTAAAATTCTGAAAGGTATTTCCCAGTCAATGCTGGTATGAAAGCTTCTAAAATCTCTCATGTGTTTTAAAAGGGCCCTGGTGCATTGGTGTGTTATGTTTAGTGATAAAGGTGATTGGTTCAAATGCTTCAAGGCGAGAAAGATGAGCCTTCTCCTCCCATAAAGATTACAGTCTCTGAAATCAAATACTTACAGGACATCATAAGGAGGAATCAGGGATTTCCAGGGCCATAGTACTTAAGAGAGTTAGTTGTGTTGCTAACCCAAAGGCATCTCCTCTCTGGCGTAAGAATCCACCACCACCTTTTCTGAAGGAGAAAGGACAATCTCCTCTTGTGAGATTTACTTCCTTGGAAGTCCAATGGAAGATCAGCTAGGAGTCAATTATGACTCAATGGCAATGAGACACAAACAGGCATCAATCTGACTGCAGTGGGTTTGGTCTGTTTTGGGGTATATATGTTACTCAAGTATAAATTTTAAATATAAGTTTCCACTAAAAATTTAAACAGAAACAGATATAAAAGGACCCAGGAACAAAGACTGTAGAGGTGCTTATCCAGTTTTATTTTGTTTTGTTTCCCTCTTCTTTTTCCCCTCAATGTTCTTAATATTTTAAGCTTCACAAAGAGGTTAAGTCCCACTGTGCAATTTTATTTTTCTACTCATTAAACAATTTCTTTAAAAAAGAAAAAAAAATGTAAACTTTTACTCAAATAAAACAGATTTTAAAAATAAACAGAAAAAATTACATCATCTGATTTCAGTTTGGAAACTTTCAAATTTCATTTAAGACTCAAAAAACACTCAGAAAACCCTGAGTTGACTGTCCAACTGAAATTCCAAGACAAACCCACTGCGGTCAAGTAGGTTTTAACTTGTGGCAAACTTCTATTAAGTTCTCAAGCAGCTGTAAATCTTTACTAGAGACTGCATCATTCTGTAACTGAATGGACCAAAACCACAGATCTTTCTTACTAAGCAGCTCAACAAGTAATGTCCTCATTATTCCAAAGTGATCTTTCAAAACACCCTTTTGAGGAAATAAAATAAATGTGCAAAATATTAACAAAATTGGATGAAGCATATTAGAGCAACTCACCACAATATTCTTTTAATTTTTAGAGCAAGCTTTTCCTCCCCAAATAAAAAGTTTAATCAATAATGTCCTATGAGATTGTTCATAGCTTTAGTCTGCTAGGCTCCAGTCAACACTCATGGCACCAGCAGCCAGGACATATTGTGATGGGAAAGTCTGCTGTTAGGAACTTCTCCAAAGCGCTGAAGAGCAATGATGTCACCCTGGAGACTAAGGTGTGGCTGATACAGGCCATGGTCTTTGCAATCACTTGTTATGTGTCAGAGAGTTGGACAATGACTAGGAAGGATAGAAGAATTGATGCCTTTGAGCTGTGGTGCTGGAGAAGAGTGCTGAAAGTACCATGGACTGCTAAGAAAACAAACAGGTTCATTCTAGAGAGGGTTAAACCAGGCTGCTCCTTGAAGGCAAGGATTCTGAGGCTTTGTGTGACATACTTTGGACATGTTGCAAGGAGGGATCAGTCCTTGGAGAGGGACATCATGCTTGGGAGTGTGAGGGCAGGCACAGGAGGAGAAGACCCTCTATGAGGTGGATTGATTCAGTGACTGGGGTAATCGGGGTGAGGGTGTCGGAGCCAGTGCAATTGGCACAGGGCAGAGCAGGGTTTAGGGCTGCTGTACACAGGGTCGCTATGAGTCACAGGCAACTCAACAGCACATAACAACAACATATTCCTCTACTAGGGGAACTCTGATGGTCTAGCGGCACAAAGCTATGTTGCAATCAGGAAGGATCGAGCCACCACCTGCTCCACGAGAGGCTGGGTTATCTTCTCCCATGAGATTAAAGTGCTTCTTGAGGGTCACTCTGAGTCTACAGTAGACAACAATTCCTTTAACCAAGGAATTCTGGTGGTACAATGTTCCCAGTTTTAACCAAAAATGTAAGCAATATGAGCATCAGCCCTCTACAGGAGAGAAATATGGCAATCTACTTAGGTAGATTATTTCCCCCTCTACCTTCAAGTCAACTGACTCATAGTGAGCCCCCATCGTGCTTCCAAAGATTGTAAACACTACTGAGAGGACGTTGCCCATCTTTTTCCCATGGAGACATTGGTGGCTACAAAGTATTGGAGATGGGCAGCCTTTTGAAAAGCAGTGCAACTTGCTACAGACTACATCAACAGAGTTCCAGGAAAAGATTTTTATTGTTAGATGCCACCACGTCGACAACTCAAAGTGACCCTATGCAAAACAAATCTGAGCCCTGCCATACCCTATACTATCCCTGATATAGCTGAGCCCACTGCTATAGGCACTATTTCAACTAATCTTGTGAAAGGTCTTCCTTTCCTTCACTGACCACCCAACCCTTCCAAACATGATGTCTTTTTCCAGGGACTAGCCCTTTCCAACAACATGCCCAAGGTCTGTGAGACCAAGTTTCATCATCCTTGCCTGTAAGAGCACCCTGGCTGCACTTTCTCCAAGACATAATTGTTTGTTCTTTAGGCAGTCAATGAGATATTATGCACTCTTCTCCAGTACCACAATTCAGGTTATCCGTTATTGTCTTCTTGACCACTGCCCAACTTGAAAATCTATGTGCCAAAATAGGGGATCTTTAGTGGTTTACTCCCTAGCCCATATAGGGAGCTTCGCTACTAACTCCAAAAGCATGCCTGACAGTTCAAATCCACCTGCAGCACTGCAGGAGAAAGATGGGCAATATCCTATGTGATTTATAGCCTCAGAAAAACTACTGGAAGGTCAGTTATGAATCAATTCTGACTCAACAGCAGGAAGTTTTGCGTTTTCTGATGAGCCATAATATTAGAGAAATAGGATTGGACTTGACTCTCCTACTACTCATATAGTGAATGTATGTTCCATCAGTTTCAGATTGTAAAAAATTACAGAAATCCTCAATTTCTTAATCTTGGGCTTTAGTAACTGGTACACACATTTGAATAACTCCTCCTCCTTGTATGCATCTGGATAGTATTCCATTATTCACATCATTGTACTTTGTGATAATCTTAAAATACTCGTTTTGATGATTTCAACACTATTCCTCTTCAGTTTGCCCTTCCTGACATAACAGATTTGAAATGGCCAACATCAATCCAGCTCAGCTCTCTAATGCCTAGGATGTTGATCCTTTATGCATCTCATTTTATTTTTCAGAATTTCCAATATTCCTAAATTGAGAATTAGTACAGTCCATGCTCCAATTTCTAATGGATGTTTACAGCTGGTTCTCCCCACTCCTAACCCCCCAGTATCTTCCAATGTGAGGAGCACATCCACCAGGACTATAAAGTGAAATAACTGAAGGATTTACTGAAAGAAGATAAAAAACTACAGCCTTCAATATGGATTATATCTCAGTATCAAGGAAAATAGTACCCTCACAACCTCACCAGTGGACTTACGGGCAACATGATAGAGAAGAGATTGAATTGGTCAACAATTTCATTTTGCCTAGGCCCACATTCAATACTTCTTGTAGGAGCAGCCAAGAAATCAAAAGACGGTTACAATGGGAAAATTTACTGCCAAGGACCTGTCCAAATTGCTAAAGAATTAGGAATTAGTTTAAAGACTAAAGTGCACCTGATCCAAACCATAATGTTTTCCATTTTTTCCTATGCACTCGACACACAATGATAACAACAAAGAACTGACACTTTTGCATTGTGCTAGTGAAGAAGAGTATTGAAGATAGATGACACACAGAGAGAGAGACAGAGACATACAGACAGACAAACATACAGACAGCAAATAAATCTGTCTTGACAGAGGTACAACCAGCGTGTTCCATAGAGGAAAGGATGGTGAAACTTTACCTCACATACTTTGGGTATATAATCAGGAG